AATCAGCGCAGACCTTTAGCCATACGCACGTCAGTGAGCGCTCAAACACGAGGCGCGCGGCTCACTGACGTGCGTCTGGCTAAAGGTCTGCGCTGATTGGCCTGATTTACTCAATAATTACTCCTTTATTATAAATAATAGAAAAAAATGGTTCAGGACTTTTCGACTCAGTTTTACTCCTTCTACCTGCCTACGAGAGATTGTACGGCAATTCTGGGACACCCTGTATATATATATATATATATACCGAATATGTCCATACAATTTTATACATGGAAAATTTTTTACTGGGTGGTCCAATGCAATGTATGCAACGTGCCAAATGGTAAATCACGTTAAATAACATCTCTAACGTTTAGAAGACATAGTAACAACATTTGATATATATAATATTGCTACTTGAAATGCAATACAATATTACCGTAATATTTCATTATTATATGTAAATGTAATATGTCGATAATATTATTGTAATATTATATTAGAATATCGAATATTACTGATATATTGCAATAATATTACGTGCTATGTGAGAAGTAAATAAATGAATAATCGTTATAGACATATTTCTTTAATCACATAAACCAGTTTTCTTTTTTATATAATTATAATATCAAAATGTCGATATAATGATTATTATGTTATTTATGTGGTTAGTTTATTTATGAAAAAAATTTCATAGAAAAAAATTAGAACTTTCTTACCGTTAACAAAGTAATTGAAGCGTGAAACAATAAAACCGAATAAAACAACAGGCCGATGCAAGCAAACAAGATGTTAATGTGTTCAATTCTTTATTGAAACCATAAACTTACAACAGACGAATCTTCAGTGTATGAACAGATACATGTAATGACAAAGGAATTATAACAATTTGTCAAAAAAACTTTTTTCTTTTGTTACACTTCTGTGTTCTAGTAAATGTTTTTGTAAATAATCACGTAAAATACAGTTATAATGGGTTACTAGTTAGTTTCATTAACAAATCGTTTTGTTATTTATAACACCGAGTACTTCGGATATAAAACGTGATCTATAAAGCCTACATACGTTTCTGATTTTTTACACAAATATCTTATAATTATATATATAGTTTTTCAATTGGCGTTACTACTTTATTATTATTATAATATACATCACATCTTTTGTAAATAAATTTTGTAGATAATTTTGTAGTATATTATAATTATAAAACAAATAAAAGTTTACTTGACACTACTTTTTGATATCCCTTTTTTGTACAACAGATTTTTTAAAGAAAGAATTTTTTGTAGTTTATAAATATAATAACGTACACGAGTTTACTTTGTGTTACATTTTGATATTACTTCTTTTGTAAAACCTTGTTTTACAAAAGAAGTAATATCAAAAAGAATGTTTTGAGAAAGAATGTTTTGTAGTATATAATATTTTGTAAACCAGATTTTATAAAGAAAGAAGGTTTCGTATTTTGTAAAAAGATTTTTAGAGAAAAAGAAGTTTTTGCAGAAAAAAAATGTTTTGTAGTATATAATTTTGTAGAATAGGTTTTATAGAGAAAGAATTTTTTTAGTATTAAATCAATTTTTAATTTATTAATTTAAATACAATACGTGTTGTGCGTGTATTTGGCGCCTGTTTTTTTATAGAAAATCTGTATTCGCTCACTTGTCGAAATTCCTTATCTTTTGCCATTGAAATTGAATTATGAAATTATTGAATAATCGCGATTAAGAAATCTGTACATATTGACGATCTTTACACACACGTACAGAGGAGTGCACCATATCGTTCCGTTCCAGGGGAAGTATTTCTCTAAACTTTCGGTTCTGGCTGCTCCTACTACCGCGCGCCGTATTCCTTCGGGCTCCGCCAGCGGCACGAGATTGAGGGAAAACGGTGCGCAGTAGTAGAGGCAGCCGAAGGAGACATTTTCGAGAAATATTTCCCCTGAAGCGGAACGATATGGTAAACTCCTCTATGAATCAATTTGTTGGCGTATGACTTGCAATACCTTGTCTTAACGTATGACGCGAGAGCTTTTGTCAAATAGTACAATTGAATATCGTTGTGTTTGTTAGAAATAAGCAAAGTTTATACTTTTGTTACTTTTTTTAGGTTTTCTTTTTATTCTATCTGTGATTTCTTTTTTTGTACATCATTGTTTGAATTATGATTCTTTCAATTCAACTGAATTTTTGTTACTACCCGGTAAAAAATTTTTCATATACACTTATACACAAATTATAATAATTATATCTAATTATGCAAATTTATATGCCGAATATGTCTATACAATTTTATACACGGAGAATTTCTTTTTTTAAGAGAATGGCTTCAGAGATATTCCATATCAAATTACAAAATAACTCTATTAGTATCATGTTAAATACAAAAAAAGTATATA